TATGGCTCATACATTAACTGGCGTTGATGAGACAGACACCTAAAAACAGACTTTAGCACACCAAAGCATCTTTCTATGATGTTTCTGGCTGAACCATGAGCATCTGTGTATCTACGCTCCGGGGTCCCAAGGTGTTGATTTTTTATTGGGGTCATCAACCATGGCTCCAGAGGATATCCATCATCACCTAAAAGTTTAAACATCGAAATTACATTCGGCAGTCTTACAGACATTCCATTCTAGTAAAATTGGTCTTTAACTTACCAAGTAACCATGTACGGCGTTCCCTATTATCAAAATGTCGCTTCATGGTTGAGCGTACAGGTGAATTTGCCCATATGTGAGCATCGTGTTTGGCTCCTGGCCATTTAGCATTGATGTTCAAAATTAACAGGTCTGGGTCACACACCTAAAATAATTTAAAATATACTTTTAATTAGGGGTGTACCTATTTGTGCTAATAAATAAGTAAATAGATTTATTTATTATTGATGATGATGATGTTCCAGAGTGTAACTAGGTGCAATAAAATTACAATTTAAGCCCTTAAGACTAATTAGTATAATCTAAACTTTTTCACCTAAACTGCTGAGTAAAATGTATCTAATAAGACTATTTTTACTATCAATAATAAGGGGAAGATACTTTGTTCATGTTTTCAAAGCAAGTTATGCAGTCTATAAATAGCCTTAAAACCTGTTGATCCCAAATTGTTCTCACTTAGATTTTGATATTAGATTACTCATAAACATGATAATTGCTAGTAGCCATAATTTTACAATAACATGTTTGACTGTGAACTGTGCTGATTAAGCTTTTGATATTGGATTACTGAAAACATGTTATGAAGTATAACATTACAGAAGACACTGACTCCACTATAATTAATTGTTATTGCTGGTTAAACCAAGGTGTCATATTTTCAGTCAACAGACTTGTTTTAACCATCCTATAAAAGCCCTTGGATTTAGAATAAGATTTATTATAATTACAATTCTCATCATAGTAATGTTATCACTTAGTTAAGGAAATCAGTTTTGCACTGAAATATATAGCTATTATGTTACAATAATACATTATTGTAGTGTAAATTTCATGGAGACATATTTAGTTGTTTTAAAAAGCTTCAGCACCGCTCCTGAAACTTAACTAGCAAATAAATAGGTAAACAATAACTACTGAAGATTAAACTTACAACTTGTACATTTAATGAATGTCCCTCATGGTGACCGCTCACATATGCCTCTTCATGCAACTTTGGAGCTAGAATTTTTATGTGTGTGCAGTCTATGGCTCCTATCGCATCCGGAAATGGCTGTGGGGCATTCCTAAATTTTGCTTTAGCTGCTCGCCGCCCTTCAGGGGTCATAGGGAATTTTATATATTTTCTCAATAATTTTTCATTAATAGCTTCGGTTACAGCATGTACTACTCGGCTAACCGATTTTTGGCTCATGCTGCAACCCCACTGTAAGCCAACAGGTAGCTGATAGCACCCACTTGCATAAAATCGAAGTGCCGTCAGTAGCTATTTAGAAGAAAATGAAACTAAGAGTTAATACAAACGAAAAAGAGTTAGTTTTTAAAGGTATATAGGCATTTACATGATGACACTCACTTGGGACTCTACAGAAAGTCCGTACGGCCGTTGTTTTTGAAGAGATGGCCTAAGTGCACCTACGAGCTCGCTAAACATATCTTTTGTAACTCTGTAAAAGTACAAGAATTCACTATCCTCTAAATCCAAAGGATTTTCACTTTCGCGCCGGTTTCGTGCGATTTGCCGCCGCATAACCATAACACGCCTGTGTTCTAGCACTGATAAATCCCATGCTAGATATGATTCCGCCATTATTACTTAATACTTTTATAATTAAATATTATGATAGAATATAGATTTTAAATCGATAAAACTCCAAAACAAATTTTTAAAGAGGCTTATGATCGTAACGTACACTTATCGGGCTCTCAAAAATGGTTGATAAAATATTTGCTAACATATCAATAGATTGTAAAGTTTTCAATAGTGTTGTTACGGTAACGTTATTAAATTGATAACTTTGACAGTAGAGACTACCAAATATTGTTATATTAGGATTGTTATGACTTAACAACCGATATTGGTTGTTAGGCGATCGCTATCTATGTCGAGACTGCAGGCACTGGGCTTTTAATTTGTTAAAGGCGGCAACAATACGATTGCGCAATTCATTTTCGGTTTCGAAAATCTTTGAGTACACTTCATTTTTAATAAAGTCACATAAAAAGAAGTCTAGAGGAGTGAGGTCAAAAAAAGTAAAGTAGTGTCAATATCACAGTGAAAAAATAAACGTACTTTAAAACACTATTTACACACACAAAGTCAATTAACTAATGTCTATTTCACCGTAAAAGAATTATTTGCTAATTGTATTTATCTTATGATAATACGATAATTATCTTACGATAAATAATTACGATGCGCGTAGGCAGCGAAACGCACCTGTATCCTGGAACAATTGCGCGTGAACTGGAAGCTAAACTTCCAAATTGGCGAAAATAAAAGTAATAAATAGGGCGGCCACAAGGTGCAATAATCGTTTATCGATACTTTTCTTTTTACGCTTACTTACCTACTACATTTGAATACAAGTAATTTTGATTTTTGATTTGATAACAATCGACAAGTTATTGATTGTTAAAAAAAAGTTTATTTTTGTACAATTGAACTTACGAAATTACCGATTTGTGACTTCCTGGGAAACGGGTAAGTATGTATGACTTTTTAATTGGTTGTTTTTATGGGTTGTTTATCATGTTAAAATAATTTATTACCTCTAAATCTTAACAAACACACACTTAACGAACACACTTAAACAAAAAAAGCTTTAAAGTTTAGCTTTAAATACTTAGGTCGTAGTCTTTTTAGGATTATCATAACAACACGATAATTCTAAAAAAACCATACCCTAAGTGTTTAAAGCTAAACATTTTTTTTGTTTATCGTTTATTACTTACTCCCTTTGAAAGAAGCTAATTGTCGATAACAGGTGTCCTACTCTACGACAAAGGCGCGCGCGCAGTTGCGCCGTCGACTTTGAAGTACGCCGCGTGCCCCGTGCCGCTTGTTTATTCACGCCGACAAAAGACACCGCTGTCGATACCACAGAGTAAAGAGGACCAGAGGGGAAGCTTCCTAACAACGTCGAAAATCTATACCTATTCTGATAGGGTTTTCACCTGATGCATGTGAAAATTTTAAGGAAAAAATATTGTATAGCATAAGACATCATGTGTATTAATTATAAGTTATATTAATGTAACAACATATTTATTAATTCGAAATCAAGAGTTTTGGTGTAAGTGGTGGTGGTGGTAGTTGTGGCTGTGATGGTGGTCGTGGGCAGTGGCGGTGGTGGTGATAGTAATGGTGGTGATGGTGGTAGTGTTGATGAAGTCACTGTTGGTCCACTGCCTACTACCAATACCTACGATACTACCACCTCCACCACCACTGACACCATCAGCAACACTATCCACCAACACCAACACCAGCACCACTTCCACCAACACTATCCACCAACACCAGCACCACTTCCTCCAACACCAATCCCTAGCGATTGTATATCCTACCCCAGGAAGCAACCTACCTCTATACTAATGTGGGTGGATAAAGTCACACATTTAGCCTTATTACGTAGGATATTCTGCCATCTACGGCACTGTCAAAGTTAGACTGACTAACGTTTCAAGTAGGTGAGACCGACATCATCACTCGGCGACGCACCTTTCTAACACATTCTCACTTACCTATCAATGTTATTACCTAGTATTATTGTATACGTAAAAAGGTACTTACGTCACTTGATCTCTCGGGTACAAAAAAAAGGAAATATCCTTATTTTCTTTAGAATTATTCATGCATACTGTAGGCTTTTTTGCTTATACAGAAAACTTATTATTTACCTATATAAATTTATAATAACTTATTTCTTAATTATACTTATTAAAAAACTAATCTAATTATTTAATAATTGCAAAAATACTTAATAAATTAATTGATGTATAAAATATCGAAATATTTTTGGTGTATTTATTTAAATGCGCACGACTAACAGCCCTTTCATGGACACTCTGACTGAGCCGGCGCAAACCGGTTTGTACCCCGACGGAGCGTCGGTGAACCTGTCAGTGAGAGCTCACGCACACATCGCTGCGCTATGTATGGGTGTACTCGCAGCGAGCCGTTTGTATGTAGCTTCCCCTCTGGTCGGTTTCTTTACTCATGTGGTCGATACGTCGCAATACCAATAGTTTGCACTGCGTGGCAACATCGCTTCTTAATGTTCAAGGATTCAAGTTCATTGAATCATTGACCTAGTGACCCAATTCTATAGAGGGTTCAAATTTGCTTAAAATTAAAACTCTACTTTTTGACCTAATTACTGGGCCGATTATGTTCATTTTTTGTATATCGTCAGCAAAGGCGATAACAAGTATGTGGTTACATTTATTGCATATTTGTGGGACCCCATTCTGTATATGTAGTGTATGCGTGTATATGTGTATGTATGTATTTATATATGTATATATTGTGTGTATTTAAGTATATATGTCTATGTATGTGTGTGTGTGTATATGTATATTTATATGTATATATGTATATACAATTTATTTTTTATTTTAGCGCTTTCTATTTTGATTACTGCTCCACCGCCTCTTGTTTGTATAATCTCTGATTAGCCTAATGGTTGACTGGGAGAGAATGCCCTATGGCATTAAATCCGCCATATGTACAACTTTGTGCATGAAAGCTTAAATAAATAAAAATAAATAAAAAATATTGAGGCGTGTTATATTTCATTGCCCGTTGCCAAGTTTGAACCTTGCTTCGCTGTCAAAAATCAAGTCTGTCGGCCAAATTAGAAAGCATAAGTTTTCACTTACGGTTTTTTTTCATAAGGGTAAAAATATTTAAAATGAATAGGAAACGATGGCAATAAAATTTCTATAAGTGCTTCAATTATATGTAAAAATACTTTATTACTAAATGATCAAATTACTAAATTTCAAACTAAATATTTACAAAGCATGCTATACAATGAGTATTGTATTCATATTTGTTAAGGATCATCTAAACGAAGGTAGATTTGGAGGATCCATCGCAAGGTCAATCAACTCGTCGATGTCGTCAGAGTTCCAGAAAGATAGCTCCAACTGAAAAAATATAAATGATCGCCTTTAGTTAAAGTAGAAAAATATTTATGTTCTATGTAAAACTTATCAAAATTTTTGATGACTGTCTCACTGATTATTTCACGTATGGAGAAATTCCGTAAATGTGTAAATTTTCAACCTAACGTTTGCACTTGAACAAAGTACAAACGTTAGGTTGGAAATTTAAATTTTCGGAAAAAACTACCCCTATGTTAGTTTTGAGGAGCTCAATCAGAAAAAAGATATTATTTGTTTTGAGAATGTCGTGTGGGCTCAGTTCAAAGGTATTCGCAATCGTCCCAACATCTTACCTCGAACAGTGTGGCCAACAGGTCTAAAAAATCACTTGTATAAATTGGAAGGAAATTATTGAAGACCTGATTGCTTTAAATAAATTTTTATTTGCAAATGGTATGATGTAGTTTTAGTACCTCGGGTTTGGCCGGGCAGTAAGAGTAATGTCAAAGGCTCCCCTTTACCGATGCGCGTATCAGTTAGAAATAATAAAACCACGTGATTTGCAAATAAACATTTATTTAATTTAATTTTTTCATGATTGAGTTTTCTATATACTTTTGAATACTGATACGGATAACATTTTAGCGGGAGTATACAGAGTATTTATGGAACGCTCCCGAAAACTAAGACAGACGACAATACTAACTATACCTTTCATGATGGGTGGAATATAAAATCGATCCCGATGAAAGAAAAATCATCTTTTCACAACGTTTTATTAGCTTTATTCATTCTCTATCATGTTAGTAAAGCTAAATGAAACGACAATTTAAAAAAAAAATCACGAAAATACTGAAACATAAAACCAGCAGTGGATTTACTGAATTTATATCAGCTGATTAAAGGTCAATGTACGCGCGAATGCTGGAAAAAGAACGCTGGCCTTGAACCTGGGCTCTGAGCGATTTATGAGTGAGTGGTACGAAGGGGACGCGACGGGGGAACAATTCGCCAGTATTACTGTGGCCCCACACTATTGGTTCCCGCGCTTTGTTCGCTCCCAAAATACAGTCGCATACACAGCTTACTTTGCGACTCGCGACGATGGTTTTAAAAAGGAAGGAAAGAAAAATTATTTATATCTAATGTTCGCGCCAAACGCTGTTGTCGGAATCGACGTCTAGTGGGCGCGCGGCTCTGGGCCATACCGGTTTTTGACGTCGGCCGAGCGGTGGGCTGAGAACGCGTAAAGGCGAAGTAGTCGTCTGCTAGCTGTGCTAATGTCTGCACGCTGTCAATTTTTGTTAGGGAACTCGGAATAATTAGGCGCGGCCCGTAAATATACGGTCTAGGATTTTGTGACGCGCATTCCTGCTGGAGAGCTTCCCAGGGACTCATTGTGTCCGACTCAGAATCTGCATAGGTGCATTCGGCAATATTAGCTAGTGCGGCCGTTAATATTCTAGAACTAACTGTTGCTACGCGACACGGTAGTGATCTTTGATCCGTAAACTCCGTGTGCGTTTTGTGCGTTAACCTTATACCCAGCGATAGTTAGTGGCTTCTCTAAGTTAGTTAATTGTGACGAACGAGGAAAGTGACTGTGGACAACGCCTCGGAAGGCCCTCTCAAGTTGGAGCGGTGTCGACGCTCGGGCTGCTGCCGACGGCCAAGGTCTAGGTTCAATCACCATCAGTCACACCCAGATACACATCACATCACCTTATATCCCTTGCACTACACAAACACATACGACCAGACCGACTCCGGAGGGACCAGGCGCCTTGGATATAGATAAGTAAGCTCCGTCTGATTCCTCTGCCGGTCGACTGGCCGTAGTATAGAACGCTTCCCCATATATTTTAGTGTAATTAGAGAAATTCCACGTGGCCACATTGAGGCCTGACCTACGTCTGCTCGGGAAGTCTTCTGCTCATGGGCCCCGGAGGATTTGACCCTTTAAGGGAGCAGCCGTAGGCCGTAACATCTATTGTTTATGACTGAACTAGTGAACGAAAAGGTAAATATGATAGGAGAAGTTGAATGGGGAAAATTGTGCGGTATAGTTAAGTGTTGAGGAAGAATAAAGAAAAAATTACCATGTGATCGACCTGATGACGGAAGCTCAAGTGAAGATGAAAGTGATGATGAAGTAGCATCCAGTAATACCAACACACCATCAACATTTGGCTTCCATGTGACCCAAGACGACATAATGGACGGCGTGTCACCCTTAGCTTAAGTTTTCTTGTTACAAACTACTTTATATTTTACGATAGAAGTAACAAATAATGCTCAAGTAAACATTATCCATTTTTAATTCCAACCTCTTCCAAAGTTCTAAGTAGCTAGTAAAACACCTATTATGATTCTACAATAAAACAATTAATTACTATAATATTATAAAACAATAGCTTTACTTAGCCGTAGTACTTTAGAACGCGACTGTACCCATGCGTTCCTTCACTCCCTCCACTCAAATTTAGTTTGCCGGCAAATATAGAATTAGAGGCGGCAATCACTATAAAACTTGCAAGTCATTTTTAATAATTTACGTACCTCTTTTTAAATTCAAAGTATTAGCCGGATTAAATACGGAAAGTCAATTAAAATAAAGTGTAGTATGCGATGTGTAGCGTGCAGTGAGCAGTGAGCAGTGAGCAGTGTGTAGTGCGCAGCGGGTACTGACCGGGTCGGTGTCGCGGCAGGGCCGGCAGTGCAGGCGCGCGGCGCGGCACTCGCAGCGCGCGGGCGGAGCGTGTGTAGCGTGCAGTGAGCAGTGAGCAGTGAGCAGTGTGTAGTGCGCAGCGGGTACTGACCGGGTCGGTGTCGCGGCAGGGTCGGCAGTGCAGGCGCGCGGCGCGGCACTCGCAGCGCGCGGGCGGAGCGTGTGTAGCGTGCAGTGAGCAGTGAGCAGTGAGCAGTGTGTAGTGCGCAGCGGGTACTGACCGGGTCGGTGTCGCGGCAGGGCCGGCAGTGCAGGCGCGCGGCGCGGCACTCGCAGCGCGCGGGCGGAGCGTGTGTAGCGTGCAGTGAGCAGTGAGCAGTGAGCAGTGTGTAGTGCGCAGCGGGTACTGACCGGGTCGGTGTCGCGGCAGGGCCGGCAGTGCAGGCGCGCGGCGCGGCACTCGCAGCGCGCGGGCGGAGCGTGTGTAGCGTGCAGTGAGCAGTGAGCAGTGAGCAGTGAGCAGTGTGTAGTGCGCAGCGGGTACTGACCGGGTCGGTGTCGCGGCAGGGCCGGCAGTGCAGGCGCGCGGCGCGGCACTCGCAGCGCGCGGGCGGAGCGTGTGTAGCGTGCAGTGAGCAGTGAGCAGTGAGCAGTGTGTAGTGCGCAGCGGGTACTGACCGGGTCGGTGTCGCGGCAGGGCCGGCAGTGCAGGCGCGCGGCGCGGCACTCGCAGCGCGCGGGCGGAGCGTGTGTAGCGTGCAGTGAGCAGTGAGCAGTGAGCAGTGTGTAGTGCGCAGCGGGTACTGACCGGGTCGGTGTCGCGGCAGGGCCGGCAGTGCAGGCGCGCGGCGCGGCACTCGCAGCGCGCGGGCGGAGCGTGTGTAGCGTGCAGTGAGCAGTGAGCAGTGAGCAGTGTGTAGTGCGCAGCGGGTACTGACCGGGTCGGTGTCGCGGCAGGGCCGGCAGTGCAGGCGCGCGGCGCGGCACTCGCAGCGCGCGGGCGGAGCGTGTGTAGCGTGCAGTGAGCAGTGAGCAGTGAGCAGTGTGTAGTGCGCAGCGGGTACTGACCGGGTCGGTGTCGCGGCAGGGCCGGCAGTGCAGGCGCGCGGCGCGGCACTCGCAGCGCGCGGGCGGAGCGTGTGTAGCGTGCAGTGAGCAGTGAGCAGTGAGCAGTGTGTAGTGCGCAGCGGGTACTGACCGGGTCGGTGTCGCGGCAGGGCCGGCAGTGCAGGCGCGCGGCGCGGCACTCGCAGCGCGCGGGCGGAGCGTGTGTAGCGTGCAGTGAGCAGTGAGCAGTGAGCAGTGTGTAGTGCGCAGCGGGTACTGACCGGGTCGGTGTCGCGGCAGGGCCGGCAGTGCAGGCGCGCGGCGCGGCACTCGCAGCGCGCGGGCGGAGCGTGTGTAGCGTGCAGTGAGCAGTGAGCAGTGAGCAGTGTGTAGTGCGCAGCGGGTACTGACCGGGTCGGTGTCGCGGCAGGGCCGGCAGTGCAGGCGCGCGGCGCGGCACTCGCAGCGCGCGGGCGGAGCGTGTGTAGCGTGCAGTGAGCAGTGAGCAGTGAGCAGTGTGTAGTGCGCAGCGGGTACTGACCGGGTCGGTGTCGCGGCAGGGCCGGCAGTGCAGGCGCGCGGCGCGGCACTCGCAGCGCGCGGGCGGAGCGTGTGTAGCGTGCAGTGAGCAGTGAGCAGTGAGCAGTGTGTAGTGCGCAGCGGGTACTGACCGGGTCGGTGTCGCGGCAGGGCCGGCAGTGCAGGCGCGCGGCGCGGCACTCGCAGCGCGCGGGCGGAGCGTGTGTAGCGTGCAGTGAGCAGTGAGCAGTGAGCAGTGAGCAGTGTGTAGTGCGCAGCGGGTACTGACCGGGTCGGTGTCGCGGCAGGGCCGGCAGTGCAGGCGCGCGGCGCGGCACTCGCAGCGCGCGGGCGGAGCGTGTGTAGCGTGCAGTGAGCAGTGAGCAGTGAGCAGTGAGCAGTGTGTAGTGCGCAGCGGGTACTGACCGGGTCGGTGTCGCGGCAGGGCCGGCAGTGCAGGCGCGCGGCGCGGCACTCGCAGCGCGCGGGCGGAGCGTGTGTAGCGTGCAGTGAGCAGTGAGCAGTGAGCAGTGTGTAGTGCGCAGCGGGTACTGACCGGGTCGGTGTCGCGGCAGGGCCGGCAGTGCAGGCGCGCGGCGCGGCACTCGCAGCGCGCGGGCGGAGCGTGTGTAGCGTGCAGTGAGCAGTGAGCAGTGAGCAGTGTGTAGTGCGCAGCGGGTACTGACCGGGTCGGTGTCGCGGCAGGGCCGGCAGTGCAGGCGCGCGGCGCGGCACTCGCAGCGCGCGGGCGGAGCGTGTGTAGCGTGCAGTGAGCAGTGAGCAGTGAGCAGTGTGTAGTGCGCAGCGG